GCCCTTATTTTGGCTAGCTTTGGCCCTGCGCTGTAAAATATATGTCTTGTAGAAATGCCAACAAACTTAAACATCTCTATGGACAGTTAGTAATGGCTTTAGTCAAGGTCGATAATTTTTCAAAAGCCAGATATAATTTTTGATGTGTAATGATTTAATGAGAAAACAAAATGGTTATTGTTCTTTCTGGCTCTGGACGTTAGCCCAGTGTTTTGTAGCTAACTGTGATATAATACAGTATGACATACTATCTCAGACACAATCCACTTTCAGATTTAATGTGATATACAAAAGTCGGCCAGAATTAGCACAAAATAGTCCACCTGGAAAAATCTTACGGAAAGGTCAATGCATCTGAAATATTTAAGAATAGAACTATTGGCTACAAATGTTACTTCCACAGGAAATTCATGGCTTGATAATTTATTAATTAATGAAAACAGTTTTTAGAAATATGTTTTGACATATTTCCAATGATGAGTTCCCAGTAGAAATACTTTTGAAAAAGGCATTGGAGCCAAAATATCTGGGTTTAAATTATAGCTATTCCTTTTATTGTGTTGTCCAGAGCAAACAATTTAGCTCCCTAAGCCTCTATTTCCTCATCTATAAAATGATGACTATAATGATTACCCCCTAGAGTTGTTAGAAAGATTAAGTGAATCGAGGTATGTTGAATGCTCAAGATGATAGACATTCAGAACGTGGTATTTCTAACTCCCTTCCAGTAAAGCAGAGCTAACATACTGCAGTACAGTGTGGCGATTATGAGCAGGGACTGCGAGGCATCATTGCCTGGGTGGCTCCTGGCTCTACAACCTCCCCAGCTGTGTGACCATGGGCAAGCTGCTTACACACTCTATACCTCAGTTTTCTCATCTGTAAAATGGGCATAATAAAAGCACCTCCCTCCTAGGGTGGCTTTGAAAATGAAATGAGTTTATTTATGCAAAATGCTTATAATGGTGCCTGGTACACAAGAAATGCTACATAAGCATTAGCTAGTATTGCAGTGAGACACTCATGGTTTGTTGTATTGGCATATTTCTGACTCATTGTATTTATATTAATAACTACAGCTGGGGCCAGTATTATGCTTCAGCTCTTGGAAGTGTGAATTGGTGGAATTTTCTGACTTTAATGCCAAGGGTATAGTGAAGACAGTGAAGAAGCAGAGGAGGCCACACACTCCCCATCTCAGGCCCTGAATGCTTTGCGAAAATAGCCATCTTTGTGAATTCTAGCTCTGGGCATAGGGAAAAAGGAACAACGGTATTATTAAACATATCTCCTGGGTACCATTTACCCTCACTGAGCCATTGCTTTAATGAACACCAATATTTTTTAGTTCTGTTGTAAATGTTATTTATAGCAAAATTTATATTATAACAGCATTAAGGGAATTTTTAAAAAAATGAAATATAAATCAACTACAAACACACCACTTGATGCAAAAACTAATTTTATTTTTTCGATTTACCTCTAGTTTTTGTTTATGTGCACGTCTATTATATGTTTACACAGCAGACATCACTGTGTATGTACAGTTTTATACTCTGCTTCCTGCTTAACATTAATCGATAACCCCCTTCCCTGACATATAGTCTCTGTGATTATTATTATTATTGACGGCTGCACAGTCTAGTGAATAGGGCATAATTACTCCATTTTTGGAAATCAAAATGTCCACCTTCTACATACTGTGGGAGAACTCTACACACGAATAATAACAAAGAAGAAACTTCTAAAAGAAAATGAATAAAAGACCTAAACCTCCTTATGGCAGGAGGGAGGTATTTGATTGTCTAAGAGTTGTGAAATCCTATAATTTGATTTTGCAACAGACTTCTACCCCAAATGCTTATTGAATATATCTATTTTTAAATTTAAGAGAATTAAAAAGAAGTTGCACATGATAGGTATGTGGGGAGGTTCATTATACTATTGTCTACTTTAGTATATGTTTAAAATTTTCCATAAGCAAAAATGTTAAAAAAAAGAAAAAAGAATTTGCTTATAAACGATTTTTCCAATACACTCGGAAATAGTTTGAAATATCTGTTGGTGAGCAGGCCACCACTAGCCCATGTGGCACTTTTGTGGGAATGTTTTCAAGTACCTCTTCCTCAAGAGCCTTTACTTTTCCGTTCCAGGAACTGTTGTAATGGTATGTAAATCCATGGTGGCTACGCCAGGAATGGTGCCACCTTGGGCACGGGGTTCTTGTGCCATGTACAACTTCCCACCACATGCAGAGCCACTGCTTGGATATCACTAAACCACTACTGAGAACATCCCTAAGGAGGTGGGAGGCTGAGGCAGGAGGATCACTTGAGACCAGTTTGAGACCAGCCTGAGCAACATAGCAAGACCCCATCTCTACCAAAAAAAAAAAATTAGCCAGGTGTGGTATTGGATGCCTATAGTCCCAGCTACTTGAGAGGCTGAGGCAGGAGGATGGCTTGAGCCCAGGAGTTCGAGGTCACAGTGAGCTATGATGATGCCACTGAACTCCTCCACCCCAGCAACAGAGCAAGACTCCGTCAAAAAAAAAAAAAAAAGGCGGGAAGGGGACGGGACTGCAGCTGTTTCGTCACTGTGGCTCGCACTGGGTAGAGGGTGACAGGCAGTGCGTGATGCTCCAGCAGGCTGTGCCCTCCCCAGCCCGCCCTGGGCTGAGACTCTCGGGCCTGCAGATACACCCTATGGTCACAGTCGGGACTCTCTAGAGGCGCGTACTCTACTGGGGTGTCCTGACAACACCCTCGCTAAGACCAGGGCTCTCCTTTCTCCCAGTAACTCCATGACTCACTCGGATGCCCAGAGCTCCTGCCCTGTACCACCCTCCACACGCCCTAGTCCGGTCTACCTCAGTATTGCCGTTACAACGCTCCTGTTGGCCTCCTCCTGGTTCCTGCTCTATCCTGGCACCCGTCAGTCCTGTCCCTGTCTGAAGCGAGTCTCAGCTCCCTCTCCCGTTCCTAGGAATTCTCCAGTTCCCGACTGGTTGCGTGCAGCTTGCCTGGGTCACAGGCCTCAGGCAGCACGGAAGGCTCCTCTCACGCTGGGGGATCCTGGGCTTCCAGGGGCGGGGCAGCCACTTGAGCTACCGGTGGCCCCAAGTGTTAGCTGTTGTGTTGGATGAAAGAGAACTAGAAGACAGCTCCGTGAGAGCCGACAGATGGTCTGGCGAGGGAAGAAGGAAGCCAGCGCAGAACACTTGCAGACTAACCACGCTCGGCAGTGAGCTGTGTAGGGCAGGGATGGTGTGGTGGTCCCTTCTGAAATCTTCACAGCTGGCAGAGGCCTGGCACTCAGCAGCACACAACAAATGTTTGTTGAGTGAATAAATAAAATGTCAGGTTAATGTAGCATAATACAAAACGCGTATATTAAGGCTGGAGAAATATAAAGCAAGAGTGATCTGAGTGGATGAGAGTAATAAAGATTTCCTGCAGGAGAGAAATTATTTTTAGAAACTGAAGGGTAAAGAGGAGTGTAGTGTAGTGATTTCAGCACATAGTTCTCCACTGATAATACTGTGTGACTTCAGGCAAGTTACTTAACCTTTCTGTGCCTCAGACTAATTTTCAAAATAGAACAATAGTGCCTACCAGCTAAGGGTAGAGTGGCGTAGAAGGCCTCAGTGAATTAATGGGTAATGGGGCCTGGGGCTTGATAAATGAGAATTAGGAACATCATCTGACACCCCGTCCTCATATTCCAAGGAGTCCCCAACCTGGACATTGCAGACATTTGAGAATGACAAGGCCTGAATCTTAAGTATAATTAGACAATTAAGGAAAACCAGGACGGGTGCAGTGGCTCACGACTATAATCCTAGCACTCTGGGAGGCCGAGGCGGGAGGATCGCTTGAGCTCAGGAGTTTGAGACCAGCCTGAGCAAGAGGGAGACCCTGTCTCTACCTGAATAGAAAAAATTAGCCGGGAGTGATGGCGCATGCCTGTAGCCCCTGCTACTCCGGAGGCTGAGGCAGGAGGATCACTTGAGCCCAGGAGTTAGAGGCTACAGTGAGCTATGATGACACCACTGCACTCTACCCGGGGTGGCAGAGCGAGACTCTGTCTCAAAAAAAAAAGTAAAAGAAAAACCAGACATATAAGGAAAAACAGCAATATGAAATTAGTGATAATTATCATCATCATCATTACTAATATTTATTGAATGCTTACTGTGTGTCAGGAGATGAGTCATCTCGCAAGTATTAAGTCTCTTAATCTTTACAACTCTGACTCACAGGGAAGAAACAAAAAGCTATACCCTTTCACTTTATTGAGAAAATTACATGAAAGAAATTTCTTGAAAAATAAAAAAAGAAAACACAATTGTCTCTAGTTCTGTTACCCTTACAAAGCAACATTTCATTTTCCTAAATTATTTTCTAGTCCTTGTTCATAGTTAACTTGTTTTTTGTTTTTTTGTTTTTTTTCAGAGACAGGGTCTCACTCTGTCACCCAGGCTGGAGTGCAGTGGCATAATCATAGCTCACTGCAGCCTCAAACACCTGAGCTCAAGTGATCCTCCTGCCTCAGCCTCCAGAAGGGCTGGGATTACAGATATGAGCCACCACACCTGGCCTCAACTTGTTTTTTAAATAACTTTATTCTTTGTATAAAAACAATGCATGCTCATAGAAAAATTAGCTCCCAGCATTAAAAAGTACAAATAAGAGAGCAAAACAGAGCGTTGATATTTAAGAACAGAACGCTGTTTTCATCATGTGACCCTCGTTGCTTATGTGTCTATTGTTTTCGTATGAGTCACTGAAGTAAAATATTACTCCGTGGAACTTGAATGTTTTTGCTAATTATTGAATAAAGCCAAACTTGACATTTATATTATGAAGTGCTAAACTACCTGATGTACCAAAAACTTTTATCGGTCCTCAGATTATGTGACTTCTTCTAGGAAAAAAACAGGTTCTTTGTATAAGACATTGGAAACAAATTCCTCTTGACATTTTCTTTCTGTTTACCAGAGAGTCGAGTGTTCCACCACTAAACCAAAACCTGTAGATATCTACTGCCTGGATTATAAGCCTTCCGGGGCAATAAGGTAATGCTTTTTTTTTTTTAGCATATGGGAATTTGATATTACTGTATTCTGTAACTCTGAAAAAAAATTTACTATTCAGATTTCTACGAAGGGGTGAGCCTGAAAAGAGTCTGTTGGGAAAGGAGAAAGATTCATTATATTGAATAATTCAAAGCAAAGGGCCTTACATAGTCTCTAGCTCATTGCTAATATGTAGAGATGAAGAAACGGGCCCGGGAGAATCGGGGGCAGGGGGTGGTGCCAAAAGTCACAATGAACTGAGACCAGAGCCCAAGTTTCCTGATGTGTCGTCATTTGGAAACATTTGGTCCTTTTTGTGTCTTGGAAGATGGGCAAGAGGCAAAAAAGGAAAAAAAAACTAAGAAATAAGACCTGGTGTCCAATAGCGGGGACCTGGGGATCTATAAGGTCCCGAGTCAGGCTTCATGCCAGCATCAAGATACGTCACACAAATGGGTGATAATGGTAAATAAATGCTTGGTGGGATTTTAACATCTCACGTTGCCCTGGTACCCTGTGGATATCACTGTGGAAATTAACCTAGGTTTTAAGTGAGTGGAGGGGCTGCCCCTAAAGCCCCACCGTGGCTGTTCCCTTGGGCTTCAAGACCCACTCACTGTAAGGGGGTGCTCAGGTTGTACCTGTGCACAATCCCAAGCGCCATCAATGTGCTCACAGGTGTGCTGCAAGAGCACCAAGCATCAGAATCCAAGACGGGACTGTCAACGAAAAGAAAGACTACTGCGCGGTGGACCGGAGCGCGGGGAGCAGCAGAGAAGGCTTCCCAGTGGGCTTGAAGCTCGCCGTGCTTGGCATCCTCATCATCGTGGTGTTTGTCTACATAACGGTGGAAAAGAAGCCCCTGTTTGGTTAGGTGCTTTAGGAGCAAGCAGTGAGCGCGTGCTTGAGTGCTGCTCTGAGCGAGCCCTCCTGCTTCAGGAAAGAACCGCAGAACTGTAGCCTTCCCTTGCGCCACGTGGTGCGCGCATCTGTGGCAGGGGCTCCGCAGGGGGAAGAGCGAGGGGGAGCCAGGCACCTGTGTTAAGAGTGTAACAGTGAGGAACTCCCTCGAGCCAGGTCATCTATCATTAAAGATGCGTCCACATTCCAGCGGATTTCTAAAAAGGAAACTCTGCCTGGCGTTTTTCTTTTTAACTATGGCGATAAACCAATAGATCACATTTTATTCACTCTTCAAATTGTATAGCCAACCGTGGGACGGCCACCATAGCTAATTCACAAAAGAGGAATATTTCTGGTTTAGCAAACATGCAGACATGTCCAACATCATGAAAACAATTCAGAACGAGGTAGCCTTTGTGCCTTTGAAATTTAGCAAGGGCCTAAAAAATGCAGGCCTGACGAGGGAGTGTGGCGACCATGCCTCTGGGACCAGGCGGAGCTGCAGAGGCGCCTGGCTCCCCTGTCATTGGCCTCATGACCTTGGGTGAGTTAGTTGTCCTCCCTGAGCTTTAGTTTCAACTTCAGAAAATAGGGATAGGATAGATCCCTTAGAGTTATGAAGAATTTGAAGAAATAATGCATGTGAAGTATTTAGTGTGGTCCACACCTGATTGTAGTAAGCATTCAACAACTGCATAAGCAACGTTACACTTTGGCACAATATTTCTACTTCTGGGAGGAGCTAATTCTAGATACAAAAAGCATCAAGATACATAAGCACCGGCTGGGCACGGTGGCTCACGCCTGTAATCCTAGCACTCTGGGAGGCCAAGGCGGGCGGATCGTTTGAGCTCAGGAGTTTGAGACCAGCCTGAGCAAGAGCGAGACCTTGTCTCTACAAAAAATGGAAAGAAATTGGCCAAACAAGTAAAAATAGAAAAATTAGCTGGGCATGGTGGTGCGTACCTGTAGTCCCAGCTACCCGGGAGGCTGAGGCAGTAGGATTGCTTGAGCCCAGGAGTTTGAGGTTGCTATGAGCCAGGCTGATGCCACGGCACTCTAGCCCAGGCAAGAGAGTGAGACCCTGTCTCAAAAAAAAAAAAAAAAAAAAGATACATAAGCACCGAGAAATTTACAGTAGCAATTTTTTCTTTATTTTTGAGACAGGGTCTCTCTCTGTCTCCTGGGCTAGAGTGCAGTGGCATCATCATAGCTCACTGCAACCTCAAACTCCTGGCTCCAGTGATCCTCCTGCCTCAGCCTCCTAAGTAGCGGGGACTGCCACGCGCCACCAAGCCTGGCTAATTTTTCTATTTTTTGTAGAGATGGAGTCTCACTCTTGCTCAGGCTGGTCTCCAACTTCTGGCCTCAAGCGATCCTCCTGCCTTGGCCTCCCAGAGTGCTACGATTACAGTTGTGAGCCACAAACTGTAGCAATTTTTATGGTAGCTAAAACATAGAACCTACTAATATAATAGGAGAATAGTTTAATAGATGAAAGTATAGCCTCTTGAGAGATGATTGTGCAATAATTAAAAATGTTAACATTGAGTTGATTATAACACAGAAAATACTTATTTTTAAATAACTTTTTTTTTTTTTGAGACAGAGTCTCACTGTTGCCCGGGCTAGAGTGCCGTGGGGTCAGCCTAGCTCACAGCAACCTCAAACTCCTGGGCTCAAGCAATCCTCCTGCCTCAGCCTCCCGGGTAGCTGGGACTACAGGCATGTGCCACCATGCCCAGCTAATTTTTTCTATATATTTTTAGTTGTCCGATTAATTTCTTTCTATTTTTAGTAGAGACGGGGTCTCGCTCTTGCTCAGGCTGGTCTCGAACTCCTGAGCTCAAACAATCCGCCCGCCTCGGCCTCCCAGAGTGCTAGGATTACAGGCGTGAGCCACCGCGCCCGGCCTAAAAATAACTTTTTTGAGATATAATTTATATGCCATACAATCCACCTACTTACAAGCACATTTCAATGATTTTTAGTATATTCAGAGTTGTACAACCACGGTCAAAATAAATTTTAGAATATTTTCATCATCCCAAAAAGAAATCCCTAAGATGCTTGTTTTTTAATGGCAAACAAAAAAGGACACAAATTTATTGTACCACAGTATCACAACTGCACAACACTGGAACAAAATATGTAAAAAGGTTAACCGTTCTTTGGTAACTGCTGCTCATCTGGATATTTCACTAAATCCTTTCTGTAGGTAACGTGTTTCCCTTAGTTCTGTGAGCTGCCCTAGCAAATTAATCGAACCCAAGGAGGGGGCCCTGGGAATCCCGATTTATAGCTGGCCAGGCAGAAGCACAGGTCACAATGTGGGGCTTGCGAATGGCATGGAAGTGGGGGGCAGTCTGGTGGGACTGAGCCCTCACCCTGTGGTGTCTGATGCTGTCTCCAGGCAGGCAGTGTCAGAGTGAACTGAAACTGTAGGACGCCCTGCTAGCGTCTACTGGGGAATGTGGTGTCAGAGTTGCTGGGTGTGTGGGGGAAAAACCCACGTGACAGATGACCTGGTTAACAAACTAACAGAGAAAAATAACTAATGGAAAGTAAGAGGAATACACTCACCACACATAATTCCCGCTTTGATGAGAAAACTCACAGCACATCTGACCCCTTTGTTTTGTTTGATTAAACACCTGGGGCTCAACTCCTTTGTCTTTAAGCCTCTTAGTGTCTGAGAGTTCATCTTCACAGCCTTGAAGAGCCCCAAGCCGCTTGAGTTCCACCAGACCAGATTCCGAGGACCTTTGCTAAGCCAGCCTCACAGAGAAGGGAAAAGAAGGGAAAGGCAGTTTCCCGGCCATTTTTGCTATCGGCTGGCAACAATCACCTTTTCCCTTTCTCTTTTCCCCCCAATAAAAGCCCCGAGTCCCCCACACTCACTGCCGACACTTCTTTCTCTCTCTTGTGTCGTGCCCTTCCCACTTTGGGGAAGTAAATTAAACCTTCTTTCTTTAAAACTATTCTAATCTTTGCATGGAGAATTTTCATCCCGCAAGGGGAGTCCCCACCCCAACACCACACAGGTGGAGTCAGAAGGGTTGTGGGACGTGAGAGGAGGAAAAAACACCCCGGTTTTCCCTGTCTCAGACACACGCTTGTGCAGGAGGAGACTGAGACTCAGGCCGGAGGACCAGTGAGGTGAGTCTACCTGGGGTCTGTGCGCAATGGGGCCTCGGCCCCCCTTGGGGAAAAACGAAGGAAGAGACTCAAGGCATGTAAGTTTGGTCCTAGGCAGTGTGTCACTGTTCATTCATTCAGTGATCGATTTCGCACCTCTCGTGCACTTGAAATAAAATGACAAATAAAACCAATATAAGTTACGATCCCTGTTCTCAGGAACACACAGTCTGATGGGGGAGGGCACGGGCAACTTCCTAGAGAGAGTGATGTCACAGCTGAAACCGCGAGGATGAGTAGGATTCAGCCCAAAGCAGGGGAAGAAAAGTGAGTGAGCCCACAAGGACAGCCAGCCAGGCAGAGGGATGGTTTTTGCAAAGACGGTATGTGCGAGAGAGCCCAGTGGCAACTCTGGGGAACGCTGAGAGAGGGAAGGGGGTAGTGAGCGCTGCGGATGGAAAAGCAGGCAGCATGCAGATCACGGAGGGTCTTGGGGCCCACAGGAAGGAAAATATGCTCCACACTAAGGGAAAGTTTGAACTTTAACAGAGGCCAACGCACAAGACAAGGAGCTCTCCCGAGAACTAACTGCATCGCCTCCCATACGGTCTTCATGGCAGTCCCACCTCCTGCCTGCGAGCTGGAGAGGAAGGCTCTCCGGAAGCCGAACCCGGGAGCCCTTTGCCGAACTGCCCCAGAGCCTCCGGGGGCCGGTCAGTGGGCAGCGCATTGGCAGCGACAGGAGCGGGACCCAGCCTTTGCGGGCGGCCACACGCTTGGATGCGCGCTTCAGCGGGGCCTCTGACGCGGGGAGCAAGAGCAGCAGAGAAGAAGCTGGGAGGCTGGGAGACTGGTGGCTGAGACAGCTTCTCCGGGACTCCCGGGGAGAGCAGGAGGAGCTGCTGCGATTGCCAGCGGCAAGTAGGGCAGGGGTGAAGGAGGACACTCAAACCTCGCTCAGGAAACTCTGAGAAAGCACCTGCCCTGCTTTGTGAGTATTTTTCATGTGACCCAAGTACTTCCTGATCCTCTTTTTGAGGCTCGCCTTTCCCTGGTGATCTGGGGAAAGTGCGTGCGGGGAGTGGGGCTGATGGACATTGTAGGGTCGCTGCCGCCAGGCTGCCCTCGGGTGGAGGGCTCTGCAGGGAAGGCCACTTCTCCTCTTGCTGCCGTGTCCCTAGACTCTCCACAATGCAATAACAAGCCGTGTGTTTCACAGGCGTTTCTGACATTTTAGACGGAGGAGGAAATTTAGAGGAAATCAAAATGTGGGGAGAAAAGGATATTAACACCAGATGCTAAGTGAATCACTCCCAGAATCCTAGGAAAAAGGAAAGTGCTGACCCCGTGAAAGGGGCTCCCTCGACAGATGCGTGGAGGTCGCCGGCCTTGCTTCCACGCTTCGGGTTTTGTCCTCCTGTCCCCAGCCCCACCTGTAATCCTCCAGGGTGACTCTCTACCCTGAGACTCCCCTGCAGGACTCAGTCACATCCCTCCCAAGGACACACAGTGGCTCCGACATAGTACTGGTCTCGGACAAAACACCGCCTGGGTCTGTATTAAGGAGGAGAACTATCTCCCTCACTCCAAAACAACGTAATTGGCCAAGAGTTCTCCGGCTCCCAATGTGGATAGCATATTTGTTTGATTTTAAATGTGCTTTTTTGTGTGTGTTTCTGCTGCTTCTAAAGCATACCTGGGGACCTGGTACACAAGAAACTGGGCTTACCTCAGTGCCTTTCCCAACAGCAATCATCAACCCAGCCCCGTCCCAGCCCCAGCTGTATGCAAGGACCCAGCAGAAGGCCATGACATTGAGATTTTCTTGACCTT